TTTGTGATCCCATATGAAAGTAAACCATTATCGTTTACTACAGATCAACAACTTAGGAAATATCAGTTTCCCCTTTTTATTGTTCCTAACTTCCCTCTAAATGTAAAATTCCATACATTATCCAATACAATCACGTACTCCACTTAAGTAAGACTAGATATCTTATCCCCGGCATCGATTAAAAATGGTTTGATACGTTGTGTCCTACTTTACCCCTAACATAATATTATAGGAGACTTCCATCAATCCTGGAAAAAAACTCCCACTTAGAAGACACTAGATAATAACACGTTTCATTAAGTTAACTACACCTTCCACTATAAACCTATAACCCCTTTTTAGTAATTTAATCATCGCAAACTGTTGTATTGATGTTTTTAAAAATATAAACCTATTGTTTCATAATCCAAAACCCACAAAAAGATGTCTACTTAATCCATCAGGCCAACAGCAACAACTATCTCCCATCGTTCAACGTACTATAAACAACCTATCGTTATCAGAAGTAATGAACCATCTTCATAATTCACCGCTGTTTAAACAAATGATATAATGTCATAATACTAATGATCAATTATCAAATATCGTTTCTTATTGAACTATCTAGACATGTTCTTCATTAGTAAATCGTCTCCACAAAGCAATACTACCTAAACATATTCTCATTTTCCTAAATATAAATAATTACTTAAATTAAACAATCCCATTCAACATCAAGTCAACCTGTCTCATCACCCGATTAACTTACTTACTTTTTAAACCCTCTACAATATCTATCATACTCTACCGCTAATTTTCCTCATAACGGTACCTCATCAGATGACAAATTAATTTAAAGTTATAGTCAAAACCAATAAAAGATCCATTCACCGATATGCAATTTTAATTACTATGTTATCCTATCCGACATGGATTGGTAGGACAACATCTTTCCTATAATGTTATCAATGAAACCAGTAATTCATGTCAATAGCATCAATGTAAAAGATTTGCTTTCTGTCCCTTACTGGGTTCGAACCAGGGACCCTCTGCACACATCAACAACATTCACCCTCAAAGCACCGTTACCCAATCCGCGATACTAGCAAAGCAACTACTTCCAGTTCATAGAGCAAGTGACGTCACTTAATGAAAACCTTGCCCTAGCTCTCACCGCTAACTAGCTAGCCATTTCACCAAACATTCAACCCCCAACGACTTCCTACAAAATACGCGATCCTTGTACACCTAACGTAACCCATAATGTCCCTTACAGCGCTCTCACGTTTCAGCAAGCCCCAATGGTTAACACCCGCAGACAAAAATTGAAATTCTTCAAACAGCGTTCTGCATTTACCTCTATCATAGGGTTTAAAAACGAACTTAACAACATTAACCATCCTAAATTGCCGTAGTAACGTCATGTTTGGTTCAGTTTATCTATTACGATATAAGACATTCACTTCTCCATGCGTCGTAAACTATATCCTATTTCTCTTGTAATCAACTAAAATCATAGCCACGCAATGAAACCATCACTCCGCCATTATCAGAATGAATGAGATCTATTCAACTATCCTTTCTAAGTATGCTACAAGTAACACCAAACACTTGCTGTAGTTTACCATCATATATTGAAATCATCCATTTATCACTATCCAATTTATTTATAGACATATTTCACCACTTTCACTCGTTTAATCTAATAAAACCTTAATCAATGCCCCCCAAAAAATACTACCACGCACTCTTCTCTCCATACTCGTTAACATTTTATACATTTGACTCATTTAGCTGAAGCTCCTATCCCGAGCGACCCACAATTAGTGAGCTCCTACATTTTTATACTTATACTAGGCCCCCTTGGGAATCGAACACGCAACCCTGGCGTTGCAAGCACCATTATCCACCAAACGAGCCACAAGTGTCCTGCTATTTAAACCACACACGCTTCAAATCTATGGAGGACTAAAAGTGCCACAATTAAATAAATAAATACACCATTAAATAATTACTTAAATGTGTCATTAATTAATTAAAATTAGAATTAAATACATAAATGTGTTATTAAATGTATCATTAATTAATTCAAATACCGATTCATTTTATGTAAAATACATATATAATAATTTCACTATTTACATTTACATTTCATGGTCCTGCGTTGGAGTGCTTCCTGAATTACTTAAAACTGTCAAACTGACCCATCAAAAGTTGGTAGGCGGAACCTAACGCCTGATTGGTTACCCTCTGCATCAAGCCAAGACAAATCAATTCCGGATAATGTCAGCAGGTCCTGCTTCTACATCCTCTGCTAAGTTTAAAATGTCTCTAACCAACTCCCTGGAAAGTTCACGGAGATCCTCCATTGTCTCTATCCAGGTTGGCCTACTCTACTTCAGACCAAAGCAATGGATCAGACTAGATTCGCGTTAGCCCCGCCCACTGACTTTGATGGGTCAGTTTGACAGTTTTAAGTAATTCATGAATCACTGCAATGCAGGATCATGAAATGTAAATGTAAATAGTGAAATAATTATATATGTATTTTACATAAAATGAATCGGTATTTGAATTAATTAATGATACATTTAATTACACATTTATGTATTTAATTCTAATTTGAATTAATTAATGACACATTTAATTAATTAATGACACATTTAAGTAATTATTTAATGGTGTATTTATTTATTTAATTGTGGCACTTTTAGTCCTCCATACAAATCATCCATTCAACATCACCAAACCAAATACTCCGTCGTACCCATTCAATCAACACATCAGCAGTAGAATGTACACTCATAAATGCAGATTGTTACTCCATGCCTTGAAATGATAAATAGATTTCCACCAATAGCGCCATTACAATGATTTCTCATCTTACCCTCTGATACAAAATGAAGTTCCCTCACTTTACTACGTTAGCTCTACCATGATAATTATTTACATTGAACCCCCTATTTGCTTTGTCTAAAACAACATTACTTATGGTCAGTTTATTCCATTATCACATGATCCAACAACGGTATAAACTTAGAAAACCCATATTAATTACTTTCTTCAGCCACGACGCACGTCTACGTCTGGGTGAAAAAATATAATACAGACATGGCACTCTAATTATGATTTTGTCATTACCATTTCCAAATCGTCACAACTCCTTATAGAACGTCAGAAACTTCTAGATACTCACATCAAATAATCCTTCAGTTAGTTTAACAATCCTCATTCAACCCAAATCATCCTCTCCTTCATTCTCTCAGCGGAACCAAAAAAACAAACTGTAATTTCCATGGACACTGCCGTTCCTGTCCCAGAAAACACAGACTTTCCACTACTCTCTACAATAACATCAAGCTCTATTTACCCCTTATAAATACTCTCCTGAGGATATTCATTATCACCCATGCAATGTTAGTAACATTCAATGTTAGTCATTTAAATACTTGCATCAAATCCACTTCTGATAATGTTTTTAAAATGTAGTTCGCCTTTAAATGTCAAATTTTGGTGCTATGTCATTGGCTCCATCTCCTGGTCGTTTTGAGTATTACACAGGGATTTATTCTCCCTTCTGTTTATGACGATTTACCACATCAAAGGTCCATAACCTATTTCTCTCTTTTGTAATGTCTTTCACACTACGGGACTAAAAACCCACTACTTTATAATGTACCATACATTAAGGGTGTCTTCCGCCCATTCTCTTTATGATGTCTTTAACATCAAGGGTTTACCTGAGCCCATCCATGGAATCATCCACTCTCTTTATAATATAATGTTTTAAATCATTTTAAAGGTGCTCTGCGCCTAATCTCTTTATAATATAATATTTTTAATCATATTAAAGGTGCCCTGCGCCTTATCTCACTATTCTGTTGCATTTACTCCTTACTTCGACCATACTCTAATTTGAATCATAGCACCATGTAATAGTCAAATGATATATTCCTCCTTACATCCCTTTACATAATTCAATACCACTCATCGTCCCCCTTTAAAAATATAGAATTTTAAAGGTCCGTTACAGCTAAGCCTTACCACAGATAAGCAGATTTTGACATAATTCAAAAAATGAAAGTCTGCTTACCTGTTAGTTGAGCTGTGAACTGCATCCTGTTCATTTAGACACCAATATGTTATGATGAGTTTCTCAGGTATCAAAGAATCAAGGATGCAAGGATATACTTAGACATTCTGTGGAGATTTCATACCAAGTATTTATTGAATCACGAGCTCGTGGGTTCATCTAACAAACGGACATAATAATAATAATATGCCATTTAGCAGACGCTTTTATCCAAAGCGACTTAGTCATGCGTGCATACATTTTGGCTTTGCCCTTCGTCAGCTGAACTAAGTAGACAAAGAAGACTCTCTATCTTATATAGCCTTTGGTTCTCCTTCCTTTCACATACATCTGGCAAGTCTCCATGGGCACTCCCTGTCTTTGATGTTCATCACTTTTTACCCCAAGTCAGTATCCTAAACATCACTCATGCTATCCTAAACATCACTAATCTACCTTGACATAATGGAATGTAGACTTCATGGCCCCAAACCACTCATCTCTTAACTCTTCCTCTGTCCTCACAACACTATGACATGACATCATTATACCATAAAAACATCATATCAGTATGACTGTAGGCATGTTTCTAGAGTATAAACAATGAATATAAACAGTGTACCACTCCATAGTGTTCCCTTGGTTTATGTCAAAATGGTTTCTCAGCCATATCCCTCCCCTCTGTGTGACTACTGTAGGTGTTTGCCGAGGAGGTGTGGGAATAGTTGTACCACCACACGCTCCATGTGTCCCTTCACCCCGTATCTAAATAGTTTGAGTCTTTCCCTTCCCCTCTGTGTAACTAGGTAGTGGCTGAGGAGAAGAGCAAAACCAGTAGTGGGAATAAACAGTGTCATAGTAATGTACCTCCAGACACTCCATTGTTGCCCACTCACTCTGTTTCAAAAATGGTTCCTCACTATCTTCCCTCCCCTCTGTGTGTCTGTAGGTGGTGGCCGAGGAGGCATGGGAGAACCACATCAAGAGGAATGACTCCATCGTCGTGGACATCTTCCACGGACTCTTCAAGTCCACCCTGGTGTGCCCCGTCTGTGCCAAGGTCTCCGTCACATTTGACCCCTTCTGCTACCTGACCCTGCCGCTGCCCATGAAAAAGGAGCGCACCCTGGAGGTCTACCTGGTCAGGTTGGACCCCCTGGCCAAACCCACACAGGTAACTACAGTATCTGGGTTGTATTCATTAGTGCACACCGTAGCAAAAGCTTTTGCAACTGAAAACAAAAACGTGTTTCTTATTGGATAGCACCTCCCCGTTTTGCCTTGTTTGCTTCTGTTTTGTATCTAGTGTATATGACCAAGGTCAGTCTGGACCCCCTGGCCAAACCCACACAGGTACTGAGCTGTTACCGCTTACCTAGAAATGAGTCATCCTTCACATATTGTGGTCACCCACAATATTCTCTGCTTTTGAATGGATATCCTCTAAAGTGGATTTGAGTATTTTGTAATCAGTTTATGCTCTGAATAGGGCCAGATGGAATCTGCAGGGAGGTCCTTTTTATCAATACCTTCTGAAAGCATGGTGTATATTTAATGAATCTGCAGCTATTCATTCTTCATGGGGCTTGGGGAAATGTTGTTCCTGCGGATGAAGTTATGAGGTAGTCTTAGGACCCCAGCTTAATGGGCGTTTGTCTTTCTCTGTGTTTCAGTATAAACTGACTGTGCCCAAGGTGGGCTACATATCAGACCTCTGTACCTCGCTCTCCACTCTATCTGATGTCCCTGCTGAGAAGGTAAGACACACACACACGTCTGTCCTGCTCTTAACTAAATCAGTTCTCCCTCGAAAAATAGGTTTTTAACCTCAAGGGATTTTATACCTGGTTAAATAGAGGCTAAATGAAAATGTACGCTCTGGAATGGCGTACAGTGCATTCGGAAAGTATTCAGACCCCTTCCCCTTTTCCAGATTTTGTTACGTTACAGCCTTATTCTAAAATGGATTAAATTAAATTGAGCTCAGGTGCATCCTGTTTCCATTGATCATGTCAGAGCAAAAACCAAGCCGTGAGGTCGAAGGAATTGTCCGTAGAGCTCCGAGACACGATTGTGTCGAGGCACAGATCTGGAGAAGGGTACCAAAACATTTCTGCAGCATTGAAGGTCCCCAAGAACACAGTGGCCTCCATCATTCTTAAATGGAAGAAGTTTGGAACCACTAAGACTCATCCTAGAGCTGGGCACCTAAAGGTCTCTCAGACCATGAGAAACAAGATTCTCTGGTCTAATGAAACCAAGATTGAACTCTTTGGCCTGAATGCCAAGCATCACTTCTGGATAAAACCTGGCACCATCCCTACGGTGAAGCATGGTGGTGTGGGGATCATGCTGTGGGGATGTTTTTCAGCGGCAGGGACTGGGAAACTAGTCAAGATCGAGGGAAAGATGAACGGAGCAAAGTACAGAGAGATCCTTGATAAAACCCTGCTCCAGAACGCTCAGGACCTCAGACTGGGGCAAAGGTTCACCTTCCAACAGGACAATGACCCTAAGCACACAGCCAAGACAACGCAGGAGTGGCTTCGGGACAAGTCTCTGAATGTCCTTGAATGGCCCAGCCAGAGCCCGGACTTGAACCCAATCGAACATCTCTGCAGAGACCTGAAAATAGCTGTGCAGCGACGCTCCCCATCCAACCTGACAGAGCTTAAGAGGATCTGCAGAGAAGAATGGGAGAAACTCCACAAATACAGGTTTGCCAAGCTAGTAGCATCATACCCAAGAAGACTCGAGGCTGTAATCGCTGCCAAAGGTGCTTAAACAAAGTACTGAGTAAAGGGTCTGAATACTTATGTAAATGTCATTTTTCTATTTTTATTTATTTATACATTAGCAAAATATTCTATAAACCTGGTTTTGCTTTGTCATTATGGGGTATTGTGTGTACATTGATGAGGGAAAAAAAGCAATTGAATCCATTTTAGAATATGGCTATAACGTAACAAAGTGGAAAAAGTCAGGGGGTCTGAATACTTTCTGAATGCACTGTATGTGTACTTAAGATGTTTATATTTTCTTTCCAAATTCAGATGATTGTAACAGATATCTACAACCATCGGTTCCATCGGATCTTTGCCACCAATGAGAACCTCAGCAGCATCATGGAGAGGGACGACATCTATGTGTGAGTGTCAGATGCAGACTATTCTGGGAGGGACTACCTGAACCTGTCCAATAGGAAACACTCAGTTTTCCCTTGCAAAACATTTTGCTACGGTATGCCCGAATGAATACGACCTTTAACTTACAAAAGATGCAGAAATCTGCAACACATTCACCCTACCCTATACAGTGCCTTGCAAAAGTATTAATCCCCTTGGCGTTTTTCCTATTTTGTTGCATTACAACCTGTAATTTAAATGGATTTAATGGACATACACAAAATAGTCCAAATTGGTGAAGTGAAATGAAAAAAATTACTTGTTTCAAAAAATTCAAAAAAATTCATAACAGAAAAGTGGTGCGTGCATATTTATTCACCCCCTTTGCTATGAAGCCCCTAAACAAGATCTGGTGCAACCAATTACCTTCAGAAGTCACATAATTAGTTAAATAAAGTCCACCTGTGTGCAATCTAATTGTCACATGATCTCAGTATATAGACACCTGTTCTGAAAGGCCCCAGAGTCTGCAACACCACCAAGCAAGCGTCACCATGAAGACCAAGGAGCTCTCCAAACAGGTCAGGGACAAAGTTGTGGAGAAGTACAGATCAGGGTTGTGTTATAAAAAAATATCAGAAACTTTGAACATCCCACGGAGCACCATTAAATCCATTATTAAAACATTGAAAGAATATGGCACCACAACAAACCTGCCAAGAGAGGGCCACCCATCAAAACTCACGGACCAGGCAAGGACGGCATTAATTAGAGGGGCAACAAAGAGACCAAAGATAACCCTGAAGGAGCTACAATGCTCCACAGCGGAGATTGGAGTATCTGTCCATAGGACCACTTTAAACTGTACACTCTACAGAGCTGGGCTTTATGGAAGAGTGGCCAGAAAAAAGCCATTGCTTAAAGAAAAAAATAAGCAAACACGTTTGGTGTTCGCCAAAAGGCATGTGGGAGACTCCCCAAACATATGGAAGAAGGTATTCTGGTCAGATGAGACAAAAATTGAGCTTTTTGGCCATCAAGGAAAACGCTATGTCTGCCGCAAACACAACACCCCGAGAACACCATCCCCACAGTGAAGCATGGTGGTGGCAGCATCATGCTGTGGGGATGTTTTTCATCAGCAGGGACTGGGAAACTGGTCAGAATTGAAGGAATGATGGGTGGCGCTAAATACAGGGAAATTCTTGAGGGAAACCTGTTTCAGTTTTCCAGAGATCTGAGACTGGGACGGAGGTTCACCTTCCAGCAGGACAATGACCCTAAGCATACTGCTAAAGCAACACTTGAGTGGTTTAAGGGGAAACATGTAAATGTCTTGGAATGAATGGCCTAGTCAAAGCCCAGACCTCAAACCAATTGAGAATCTGTGGTATGACTTAGATTGCTGTAGACCAGCGGAACTCATCCAACTTGAAGGAGCTGGAGCAGTTTTGCCTTGAAGAATGGGCAAAAATCCCAGTGGTTAGATGTGCCAAGCTTATAGAGACATACAACAAGATACTTGCAGCTGTAATTACTGCAAAAGGTGGCTCTGCAAAGTATTGACTTTGGTGGGGTGAATAGTTATGCACGCTCAAGTTTCTGTTTTTTTGTCTTATTTCTTGTTTGTTTCACAAAAAAATGTTTTTGCATCTTCAAAGTGGTAGGCATGTTGTGTAAATCAAATGATACAAACCCCCAAAAAATCCATTTTAATTCCAGGTTGTAAGGCAACAAAATAGGAAAAATGCCAAGGGGGGTGAATACTTTCGCAAGCCACTGTAGTTCTGTAGCTTTGAGGTGGCATTTGTTCTTAATAACTAACTTAACGTAGCAGGCGTCTGAGCGGATTTTCTTTCTTTCTGGTCCTGACGAGAAAGAAAAAAAACAGCACAGATTCTCTTCTGCACTGTTGAACCAATCCAGTAAAAGTGGAAGAGGAATTAAGATGGAGTGTCGCCTTGTTAACGTCCACAGGCTCTTTCCATTTCCCCTGAAAACTGGATACATCTGGTTGTTGCCGAGCCTGCAGAGGGTGGTTCTTAACTGACTTGCCAAGGTAAATAAAGGTTAAATTAATGGGGGGAAAAATACATCTCTCCTTGTTGTACAGCTTTGAGGTGGCAGTGAACCGGCTGGAGGACACAGACCATGTGGTGATCCCAGTCCACCTTAGAGAAAAGTACAAGCAGTCAGGGTACAACCACACCTCCACTCCTCTGTTTGGCCAGCCCTTCCTCATCACTGTCCCCAGAACACTCAGCGAGGACAAGCTCTACAACATGCTGCTGCTGCACCTCTGGTGGGTCACACACACACACACACTCGCGCATGCATACAGTCTATTCGGAAAGTATTCAAACCCATTGACTTTTTCCACATTTTGTTACGTTACAGCCTTATTCTAAAATTGAGTGAATTTTTTTTCTTTCTCATCAATCTACACACAATACCCCATAATGACAGTCAAAACTGGTTTTTACAAATGTTTGAAAATGTATTTTAAAAAACAAACAGAAATACCTTATTTACATAAGTTTTCAGACCCTTTGCTATGAGACTTGAAATTGAGCTCAGCTGCATCCTATTTCCATTGATCATCCTTGAGATGTTTCTACAACTTGATTGGAGTCCACCTGTGGTAAATTCAATTGATTGGACATGATTTGGGAAGGCACACACCTGTCTATATAAGGTCCCACAGTTGACAGTGCATGTCAGAGCAAAAACCAAGCCATGTCAAAGGAATTGTCCGTAGAGCCCCGAGACAGGATTGTGTCGAGGCACAGATCTGGGGACGGCTTCCAAAACATTTCTGCAGCATTGAAGGTCCCCAAGAATATAGTGGCTTCCATCATTCTTAAATGGAAGAAGTTTGGAACCATCAAGACTCTTCCTAGAGCTGGGCACTCGGCCAAACTGAGCAATCGGGGGAGAAGGGCCTTGGTCAGGGAGGTGACCAACAACCTGATGGTCACTCTGACAGAGCTCCAGAGTTCCTCTGTGGAGATGGGAGAACCTTCCAGAAGGACAACCATCTCTCCAGCACTCCACCAATCAGGCCTTTATGGTAGAGTGGCCAGACAGAAGCCACTCCTCAGTAAAAGGCACATGACAGCCTGCTTGGAGTTTGCCAAAAGGCACCTAAAGGTCTCTCAGACCATGAGAAACAAGATTATCTGGTCTGATGAAACCAAGATTGAACTCTTTGGCTTGAATGCCAAGCGTCATGTCTGGAGGAAACCTGACACCATCCTTACAGTGAAGCATGGTGGTGGCAGCATCATGCTGTGGGGATGTTTTTCAGTGGCAGGGACTGGGAGACTAGTCAGGATCGAGGGAAAGATGAACAGAGCAAAGTACAGAGAGATCCTTGATGAAAACCTGCTCCAGAGCGCTCAGGACCTCAGAATGGGGCGAAGGCTCTCCTTCCAATAGGACAACGACCCTAAGCACACAGCCAAGACAACGCAGGAGTGGTCTATTTTTCAGCCAAGACAAGTCTCTGAATGTCCTTGAGTTGCCCAGCCAGAGCCCAGACTTGAACCCGATCTAACATCTCTGGAGAGACCTGAAAATAGCTGTGCAGCGACGCTCCCCATCCAACCTGACAGAATTTGAGAGGGTCTGCAGAGAAGAATGAGAGAATACAGGTGTTCCAAGCTTGTAGCGTCATACCCAAGAAGACTCGAGGCTGTAATCGCTGCCAAAGGTGCTTCAACAAAGTACTGAGTAAAGGGTCTGAATACTTATGTAAATGTGATATTTCCGTTTTTGCTTTGTCATTATGGGGTATTGTGTGTAGATTGTTGAGTTAAAAAAGCAATTTATTCAATTTTAGAATAAGGCTTTAACGTAACAAAATGTAGAAAAAATCAAGGGTCTGAATACTTTCCGAATGCACTGCACATACATACATGTGCTTTACAACATGCTGCTGCTACGCATCTGGTGGGTAGGTAACCATCTCAGAAACTGCCACTAACTAACCTTGTGCTCTGCGCTCTTGTTAAGTACTTAGCCTAATTGTGACAGATGTTGCTATAAAAAGGGCTATATAAATACTTTTGATTGCTCTTTTCATTGTTTCTAAGGAATCTTTTTAGTTTCTAGTGTAAACTAGGCTTTGACACAATGTCCCGATTTTTATATGTTTTCTCATGAAATGTTTTATACTCCGGGAGCACTGAAGAACTGAGTAATAACACCATTGAGGGTGGAATGATTTTGAGGGTGGATGTTTCTTTCTTCGGGGGGAGCATATCAATTATGTTGAGCGGTTAGATGTTGGAGTATGTCTGTATGTATTGAATGGTAACTGATTATATTAATATTGTGTGTTTGTGTTGTATGGGACAGTCGGTTTGTGCGTTCTGTCGTTGAGGAGGACGACACTGTGGAGACAACCCCCTCTTCTAAACAACACACTGTCAATGGCAACGCTACCAATGGAGTCCTGGAGGAGGGCTCGCCCAGTACGTAACACACACACGCTCAAACAGACACATACACATGCGCTCACCTGGGCCTTTTTACTGAAGAATGTGTTTGTTTCATATGATTGTGTTTCCCTTTGATGTGTGTTGTAATTGATGTGTAAGTAGATATGTATAGTGTAATTGTTTTATTGATGTGTTCATCTGCGAAAGAGACTGTGGTCTCAGCATTAAATAAAGGTTAAATAAAAAATTTAACCCCTGTCGATAAAGCTATTTCGAAATTTGATCAGCTGATCCACTCCATTCCAGGCGAGATGGAGACTGACGAGCAGGATGGAGACGACGAATCCAGTCAGGACCAGGAGCTGCCCTCTGAGAACGACAACAGCCAATCAGAAGACTCTGTGGGTGGCGGGGACAATGAGCTGGAGAACGGGGTTGGTCCAGAGGGAGAGAACTCGGGGACCAAAGCTCACCAGAACCAGACGTCTACGACTATGGGGGAGAAGAAGAGATTGTTTACATTCCAGTTTAACAACATGGGCAAGACGGACTTTAGCTTAATCAAGGAGGAACCGCGGCAGATCCGGTTCGACGAGGGACACCTCAGACTCAGTGGTAAGATCTGCATTTTACATTCAGTACGCAGATGAAGTCACAACCCTCCAATAAAGATAAAAACATGGTAACGTTCTAGTAACATTATACTTATTGTAAGCACTAAGCAGTGCCTCTACTAGTTGTTAATGCACAATCCACCTTTGTCTTTCCGTTACATTCTCACCTTTACAATGAGTCTTAAAGGGTATATTGCTCTGTCTCTGTAACAGACAGGTCCTATCTCTCTTTGGACTGGGAACCAGAGGTCAAGAAGAAACACTTTGATGAGGGTATCACAGAGGTAAGGCTTTCTACTCTCCTAATATTAGAAACCATTTTACCTACACTACCCTCCGTATTTATTTGGACAGTGACGATACATTTTGCCCTATACTCCAGCATTTTCTATTTGAGATCAAATGTTTCATATAAGGGGTCACCTTTTATTTGAGGGTATTTTCATACATATGTTTTACCATTTAGAAATGAATTCACTATGTATCTAGTCCCCCAATTGGAATACTTTTTTTTCATAAGTATTTGAACAAATTAACTTAGTGTATTAAAGTAGTCAAAATTTGAGTATTTGGTCCCATATTCCTAGACTACATCAAGCTTGTGACTCTACAGACTTGTTGGATGCATTTGCAGTTTGTTTTGGATAATGTTTTGCCCAATAGGAACTGAATGGTGAATAATGTATTGTCATTTTGGAGTCACGTTTATTGTAAATAAGAATAAACTTCTACATGAATGTGAATGGTACCATGATTATGGATAATCATGAATGAATTATGAATAATGATACGTGAGAAAGTTACAGAGGAACAAAGATCATACCCCCCCAAAAATGCTAAACACCCCTGTTATTGGTAATGGTGAGAGGTTAGCATTTTTTGGGTGGGTATGAGCTTTGTTCCTCTGTAACTTTCTCACTCATCATTATGACAGGTGACATTCTGTACTGTCGCCTCATATAAAACATTTTATCTCAAATCCAAAATGCTGGAGTATAGAGCCAAATATACTAATTTTTGCGTCACTGTCTAAATAAATACAGAGGGGAGTGTATATCAATTAATGTCAGACTCCTCTGTATGGATGTCTTTGTGTTTGTCCTTATGCATTCAAACTAGAACAGTGTTTCCCAAACCTGGTGTGCTAGTTTGTAGATGAAATAGTTGGAATAGCTGGAGGTATTTGAGCAGAGGCTTGGGAAACACTGTTGGAGAATGAATGTCTCTCTTTAAGCCTTGGATGGTAATAATGCTGGACTAAATAAGTAATAACCAAAATCTCGCTCTGCCTGTGAACAGGACTTTGAGAAGCATGAGAGCATGGAGTATAAGCCTCAGAAGAAAGCCTTCTTCAAGCTGAAAGACTGCATCGAGCTGTTCACCACGAAAGAGAAGCTCGGAGCTGAGGACCCATGGTGAGACTTACCTTCATATTGTCAAGGCTAATAAAGAAAATAATGAACATTTAAAAGAACAGTACACTCAAAATACAAATTAACATGGTATTAGTCTCGGTTAACCCAGAACTAAAATCTTCCGTAATTTGGTCACATGCGTAATTTATCCTGGCTGTCTCAGGTACTAAGAAAGTGGATGCTTTTTTAAATTGTCAAATAAAATATAATAATTCATCCATCTATCCCAGGTACTGTCCGAACTGCAAGGAGCACCAGCAGGCCACTAAGAAGCTGGACCTGTGGTCTCTGCCTCCAGTCCTAGTGGTCCATCTGAAACGTTTCTCCTACAGCAGATACATGAGGGACAAGCTGGATTCACTAGTCGATTTCCCACTCAGGTACGGTTTTGACCAGATGGCCATACTTTTCTGTCAAAATAAGCTATCATGTCAAAGTTTATTAACAAGTAAATTAAAAACATTATTTCCCTATGACTTAAAGGGATACTTTAGGATGTTGTTCTACTTCCCCAGAGTCCGATGAACTCGAGGATACCATTTTTATGACTCTGCGAGCAGTTTGAAGGAAGTTGCTAACATGCATGCCCATACACTTTTTGGCCGGGGTAGGCAGTCATTGTAAATATGAATTTGTTCTTAACTGACTTGCCTAGTTAAATAAAGGTTAAAAAAAATATATATAGTCCAGTCATTGTGCTAACGCTAGTTAGCATTTGCTTGCAAAACTACCTCTAACTTCCTTCATACAGGACAAAGACATAGAAATGGTATCCACAAGTTCATCGGACTCTGGGGAAGTAGTTAAAGGGCCTCATTGCCAAAATGAAGTATCCCTTTAAGTTGTAAATCACTTACACAAATGTTGAATATCACTTGAAGAGAAAACAAGGAATGCTCCCCCTCATGAATGGTTCTTTGTGTGATTCTCTCTCCAGTGACATGGAAATGTCAGAGTTCCTGATCGACCCTAATGCTGGTCCCTGTCGCTACGATCTCATTGCGGTCTCCAACCACTACGGAGGCATGGGAGGAGGACACTGTAAGTCTGATTTTAAGTCTCCTTATATGACAATTTGGCTATTAACACTAGAAGCGCAGACGACGTCGTTTGAACATAATGTGTATTCAAAATGGTAAATTCTGACATTGCTAGCCATATTGTTTTCCGAGTTGATTCAAACAAGGAAGTTGAACCAACAGTCTTAATTCAATGCTTGCTTGTAGCAGACAAATGCTGATCTTCTCATCTTATCTTTGGGACACTTAGATACTGCTTATGCGAAGAACAAGGATGATGACAAGTGGTACAACTTTGACGACAGCAGTGTCTCTCCAGCCAACGAAGATCAGATAGTGGTGAGTTTCATGGTCCTCTAACATCTTGTCAGATACACAGCACTGCCCAGTGTGAATTGAATGTGCACTTCATATTATACTGTAATGTAAGCCATTAACCTGCATCCTGAATGTGTATGATGTTATAGCAATTTAGATATATCTTTTCAGTTCTCAAGTTTCATTTTGTTATTACTACACTGTATATCAAGTTACTGTGCTGCTGTGTGTAACTCTTTGTGTGTGTTCAGTCCAAAGCAGCGTACGTGCTGTTCTACCAGCGCCAGGACACAGTGAAGGGAACAGGCTACTTCGATCTGGACCGAGAGGAAGAGGAGGAGAGAGAAGGAAAGGAGGAGAGGAAGAGCATCGCCCCAACCCCGCGGGCCTCTGCTTCAGTCCAGAGTGACAAAGAGGATGTCAACGACAATAAGAATGAGAAAGAGCAGGAGCCTAGCTGCGACGTCACCATGAAAACCAACTGAGCTGGAGAAACGGAGACAGAGCGAGAGACAGGAATATCCATCCAAAGCCATATCGACAGACACAGAGCAGTGGGCCAGCCCTGAGGCTGCGCTCTGACCTCTGACCCCATCCAGCCCTACAAAGAGTGGGCTACCAGGGGAAACTAACCACTGAGAAGCTAGTCAGTGCTGGAACACCCAAGCAACATTACTAAAGCAATCAGGGCCTATAGATGTCTGTGGTCTGACCGACCGGTCTTATCCGGGCTGCAATGAGTCTCCACCATGTCCATTCTACATGAATCATCCACTCTGGAGGAAAATAAGTCAAGCTCTGTTCTGATTCTGAACAATGACATCATACTGAAATAAAATAGATCCATTTGAAGCTTTAGGAAGGCCTGCATTACGGAGTTCAGTTCATCATAGTATCAAACACAGAATGTCACAGTGCAGTGGTGTCGCTGCTTTGGCGCTTCCAACCGATCCTCCCTCCCACCCACCAGCTTAAATGTTGTTTTAAAAAAATATTTTTGAGAGAGCAATGCATTGGCATACCATTTTATCATTATTATTAAGCTAAATATATTTTTTGAATGAACACTGAATTATTATTATTAGGTTTTCATGATGCTCTGAAGCTTTTTGGGGGATTCGTCCTAAAACTTTCATTTTGTTACACAATCACCTCCACCCCCATAAAAAAAAAAAAAAAAATTGTATATTTGTGCCACATACTGCAATTGTTTTACAAATTACTCTGAGCCAGGGTCTTCTCAGTTAAAACGCTTTGAACGCTGCCTTTAAACACTGTGGTCAACAGAACACGCATCCACACATAGTGGCCCTGTGTAGAGTAGGAGTGCTGATCTAGGATAATTTTTGCCTTTAGGAGCATAATGAATAAGGTTATATGGACAGGGGGGACCTGATCTTAGATCAGCCCTCCTACTCTGCATGTGAGGAGGAAGAGCAACATACATTTTATAATGTAAAACAGCCAAACCAGTCGTGGTGATCTTGCATTTTAGACACATAACTAATGTATACAATATGAGCCTTATGATTAAGTTCTGTCGTTTTTTTATTCTGCTGGTCCCTACAGTAAGTATCATCCTAGCCACATGAAGCCAAGGTCAAGGTCCAGAAACAACCCCTAAACCCCTAGACACTTTTGTAGATCTGAAATGATCAGATAGGTATGAGAAAGGGGGCGAAGAATTCACCTTACCTTTCACATGACAAGGTGGAGCTACTAGCATATTGCTCACACCCAATTCTTTCAGATCTGCATAAGTGATTAGGAGACATGTTTGTTTAGGAGGTAGGGGCTTTTCTGGAACGGACCCACCTCTCTCAGGCTGTATGTTGCATTACTAGCTTTACATGGCTTTTTTTAGGCTCTCCTCCACTACCTGCTCCTTCTAGAGGCTTTTTGAGATTATGAATATTGGTGATACATTAGATTTCTGTCTCTTGATTGGATCACCTCAGCCTTAACTCTTAATCTCAGATTGTAGCCTTTTCTTTGCACATTATTATGTCACGCTGTTTGTGCATGGCCCCGAAACACAAATACACACACACACACTTGAACAGGACACAGATACGAGCTGAAACTCATTCATATACTCACAGGAAAACTTTGTACACACCCTCACACCCTATCTTTGCTGTCCCCATCAGAAACATCCATGAATAGCAACCGCTGCTACCGGAAATCAACCAATAAAAAAGAAAAGTCAAACACTTGGGCCGGAATGTATACTGAATGACTGACTATTGAACTGATCCACTTGTAAGGCAAGGTTGGTTTTTTTTGCCTCTTTTTTCTTGCTTTGATTAAATGTGAGGGGGGGGGGAAATAGTAGGGGGTTCATTGTCTTTGATAGGAATAACTGGGTACTGCTGTATGTGTCCTCTCTTCCAAGGGAAAATAATGCTTCATTGTGGTTGGAGCATGGAGTAGGGTCTTTCTCTGGAGAGGGCGGGAGGGATGGGTGGAGGGTAGGATTACTGATCAGCCTGAGTGGGTGAGATGTGGTGATTACATATAGGCTATATAATACTGTACATAAGAGTTCACTCTGTGAGTGCACATTTGATAACATGTATTTATTTATATGTAAGCGTTTAATAATACCAAAAAAATATATATATTTAAAGACCTTGGCAAGACTGAAGATGTAATGGGAATTTGGCTTTATAGTACACTAGTTCAGGGTTGCATCCAAAATGGCCCCCTATGCTGCATAGAGTTCCGTTCAAAAGTAGTGCCCTATATAGGGAATAGGCTGCCATTTTGGACACAGCCCCATAATTCTTACCTGTGCTCTTCTCTTCTGGGGGATTGGATCTTTTTTAAAGGATGTTCTATTGTTCTGACTTTTCTTTTGTAAAAGGTGAATACATTCAGGCATCCTTTGCATGACATGGGGGTTTCCAGGTTTGGCTGTGCTTGAGTTCACTTGGGTTTACATTTGAAATGTGCATGTGTATTTATACACCAACTTCAATAAAGTTGTGTAAAGCCTAGTACTCTTTTTTTTCTGTAAACTATTCAGATTTACCAAATGTATAAGGTTGTGTAGGCTGTAGATGTAACTTGATTGATAATGACTGATTGGGTATTCGTGCCCTCTGGAGGTAAATGTATAACACAGGAGCATTCCTGGCTCAACAGAGAAATTGGAAATAGATGCCCTCTTGTGGTTGAAGCTGGACCATGACTGGATATGATGTTCTATTAATACTATACTAAAACATATTTTGTCTGAGATTCTTAAGTGTTGAAGCTCAGAACAAACAAGCACAAACATGAATGACCATTTGTCTGACTTGCTTATTTATTACAGACTTCTTCAGAATTGGTCTGGTGCGTTTTAGAATTTCACCCAAAATCGCAATGGCCAACGTTTGAAATATTCCCTTTCCCACAACCCAATACGAATGGAGCTTGTGCGCGGTGCTTTATGCCCAGTCTGACGTTTCCCGCCAATTTTATCCACAGTTGATCGCATAATCCTAAATTTTCCACACGGATCGCTGGAAGATACTGGTAGACTATGCGGCAACGTGCGCGTGGCTTTGCTAGACTGAATTGCGCGTGTATTTTTCTTAAAAACTCGACAGCACAGATCATTGTTCTGCCTTTATTTTTTCTTGAAAGAGGAGATGGGGAGATGGTTGGCTGCTACCTGCACCAACAATTCGGTGTGCACACAAGACTATTGCATTGCTGGGCTGGATGATCAACCAATCACAATTATAAGGTTGTTTTGTGTGCATGCCATTTAACTGTTTTTTAATTATTGGATTGTGATATAGCTTTGTTGTAAACTATTAGGCTATAATGGCATTCAATATTCGCCCTGTATTAATTCCTACGATCTGTGATATGTCGCATCTTTCATTGGGACCCCAGGTAGGTTGATGAGGTTGAAAACGGAACGTGGATGTTCAGTAGCCTATCAAATCAATCGTTGACGATGAAATATACCTCTGGATAAAAAAGAAAGAAAGAAAACCACTGCCGTTAATACACAGTCAAACGTTCTGTAGCCTAGGTCAAACGAGAACTTAGCCGAAACATGATGCAATGTCCAGCCAGGTCAATTTAGGGGAAGGGCAATGAAATCAGGAGACTGGGTCGGTCGGGGACTTGGGTGGGGTTTCAATTGCATTTTACGTGCTTAACGACACAGATACTGTATATGAACCCGCCATCATGGAACCGTTAATTCATATGGTCATTCTGAACCGTTTGGACAGGAGGCAGACACACGGATGACACCACTGGTTCGTTCCTTTCCACTGTGCTCCGGCTGAGGTAGTAGTTTGTGCTGTTGGTCGGGTTGTGACATGGCCCGCTGTGGAGATAACTGCGCAAGCTACTGCCTTGCTGGCGCTGGTGATATGCACATCAAGAAACCTGTATTATTATTTTTCTAAAGCAAAAACATGTTAGGATGCCAAATTACTTTTTGGAATTCTGAGTAACTGGACTGCTGTTGTAAATTCATGACCATTCAATTAGGCCTATGTGCGTAATTTGTAGGCATATTCATGACAGAAGTGTTACCCTATAGATAGGTACATTATATATACAAAAAATGTGGACACCCCCTTCAAATTAGTGGACTCTGCTATTTCTGCCACACCCGTTGCTGACAGGTGTATACGATCGAGCACACAGTCATGCAATCTCTATAGACAAACATTGACAGTAGAATGGCCTTACTGAAGAGCTCTATGATTTTCAACGTGGCACTGTCATATGATGCCACCTTTCCAACAAGTCAGTAAGTAAAATGTCTGCCCTGCTAGAGTTGCCCGGGTCAACTGTAAGTGCTGATATTGTGAAGTGGAAACGTCTAGGAGCAACAACGGCACAGCCGCGTAGTGGTAGGCCACACAAGCTCACAGAACGGGACCGCCGAGTGCTGAAGCGCGTAAAAAACCTTTGCAGAAAAACAGCCCCAAAGCATGATGTTTCCACCCCCATGCTTCACAGTAGGTATGGTGTTCTTTGGATGCAACTCAGCATTCTTTGTCCTCCAAACACGACGAGTTTAGTTTTTACCAAAAAGTTATATTTTGGTTTCATCTGACCATATGACATTCTCCCAATCCTCTTCTGGATCATCCAAATGCACTCTAGCAAACTTCAGACGGGCCTGGACATGTACTGGCTTAAGCAGGGGGACACGTCTGGCACAGCAGGATTTGAGTCCCTGGCGGCGTAGTGTGTTACTGATGGTAGGCTTTGTTACTTTGGTTCCAGCTCTCTGCAGGTCATTCACTAGGTCCCCCCGTGTGGTTCTGGGATTTTTGCTCACCGTTCTTGTGATCATTTTGACCCCACAGGGTGAGATCTTGCTTGGAGCCCCAGATCGAGGGAGATTATCAGTGGTCTTGTATGTCTTCCATTTCCTAATAATTGCTCCCACAGTTGATTTCTTCAAACCAAGCTGCTTACCTATTGCAGATTCAGTCTTCCCAGCATCTGAGCTTATGGTTGATTGTGGAGGAAAGGGATTGAGTGTGTTCGAGTATGTGTGTGTGTGTGTGTATCCCACATCTGTTGCAAGGGGGTAAGGATGTTAGGGAGAATATAGGATGAACCACAATAATTGTTTGCAAAAAAAATTTAATGTAATACAATGGCAATCTGGGTTATACAGTGAGGGAAAAAAGTATTTGATCCCCTGCTGATTTTGTACGTTTGCCCACTGACAAAGAAATGTTCAGTCTATAATTTTAATGGTAGGTTTATTTGAACAGTGAGAGACAGAATAACAAAAAAATCCAGAAATACGCATGTTGAAAATGTTATGAATTGATTTGCATTTTAATGAAGGAAATAAGTATTTGACCCCTCTGCAAAACATGACTTAGTACTTGGTGGCAAAACCCTTGTTGGCAATCACAGAGGTCAGACGTTTCTTGTAGTTGGCCACAAGGTTTGCACACATCTCAGGAGGGATTTTGTTCCACTCCTCTTTGCAGATCTTCTCCAAATCATTAAGGTTTCGAGGCTGACGTTTGGCAACTCGAACCTTCAGCTCCCTCCACAGATTTTCTATGGGATTAAGGTCTGGAGACTGGCTAGGCCACTCCAGGACCTTAATGTGCTTCTTCTTGAGCCACTCCTTTGTTGCCTTGGCCGTGTGTTTTGGGTCATTGTCATGCTGGAATACCCATCTACGACCCATTTTCAATGCCCTGACTGAGGGAAGGA